TCTTATGTGACAGCATGGGTGGATTGATCCCCACCTCTGGATTTCTTGGAGTGCAGGAGACTTCCGAAGTGGTTGTTGGTATATAATAGTACATAAAATACTAAAAAATATACTAAAAAATACTAAAAAGCCAGGGTTAAAAAGAAAGAATAATGTGTATATAAAACTACAAAAAAAGAATAATTGGAACAAATAAATGACCAATAATTACTTTAATATTAAAATACACAGTAAAATATCATATATCCATAACGCGTTTCGTCAATAGACTTTATCAAATAGAATTACATACAATGCCTGGCTAATTGTATTATATAGGAGTTTAGATAATTTGGATTTGGCGCCAAAATTGATCTATCCAATCACAATTAAGTTACTTTTAGCAGTGTAAAATCTTTAAAAAACATCAATACAAATAAAATATATGGTGTAAGAACATTAGTACTATACATGAATAGCAAAAACGAGGGTTAGAAAAGCATAAAATCTGCGTTTGAAAATGAACATGTGACGTGCGGCACTTCCGGTTTTCGGACGTAATGCCGCAATGCCTAGTGGGAAATGTAGTTCACGGACCGCAAATGGTGGCCGTGAGTTAGGTAGGGTAAAGAATAGGCACGGCCATATTGAGAGGGGCTTAGATAGGAGAGCCCACATAGGGAGGAGAATGTAGCCATATTGAGAGGGGCAAGTAATATATAAAAGACCATATTTGGAAGGGCACAGTATATCAATAATCAAATAAAGAATAGTAAGATTAATTAATAAAAATATGCAATTAGAAATGAAATAGATATGCAGTTTAGAACCATATAAAAAAAGTATTTAAGTATATAAAAACATATTTGGAAAAACACAGTGTATTAATAATCAAATTGCTAAAACTGATATATTACTGCAAATACAAAATAAAGAATGATAAGATTAATTGATAAAAATATGCAAATATAAATAAAATAAATATGCATTTTAAAACCATATAAAAAAAGTATATGTTAAAACAGACATATAAATTGCTGATTTTTTATAGAAAATTGTATAGGTCAAAATCTGCATTGAGGCCATGGGGTATAAGAGTCTTAAGGTTATACACCCATTCCATTTCTATTTTTCCAAGTAATTTTTTTTATGTCTCCTCCACGCCAGGGGGTAGAACATTTTTTTATACCAATGCATTTTAGGAGTTTGGGGTCTTTATTATGCATAATAAAATGTTTGGATACTGTATGATTTAAGTATCCATTTTTAATATTTCTGCAATGTTCGCTCAATCTTGTCTTTAAGCACCTTGTGGTCATCCCCACATATTGGAGGCCACATGGGCATTCGAGCAGATAAATAACATTTTTAGTATTGCACCCAATAAAGTCATAGATATTATACATTTTTTTAGTCCTATTAGACATAAACTGAGTAACCTTGGGTGGAGTGGACAAATCTGTAGTTCTACACACTATACATTGTTTGCATTTATAAAAACCTTTAGTCTGCGGAAAAAAAGAAAAACCCCTTACAGGCGATTCTCGAGTAAAATTAGTGGTTAGAATTAATTTAAAATTTGGAGCACCTCTAAACACAATATTTGGCTGGTTAGGTAAAATTGGATTTAAAATATCATCTTCTTTGAGTATGTGCCAATGTTTTTTTATTATTTTTTTAACTTTGTTACTTTTATTGTTGAAATTAAAAATAATGGGAAGAGATATTGATTCATCATTTTGTTTGTTTTTATAAATCAGAAGATCATTTCGTTCTTTTTGTTTTACTGTATTGATTGTATTATTAAGATCTGATTCTAAATATCTTTTTTCCATAAATTTGTTTTTTTTTAAAGTGGCTTGTTCGTTAAAATCTGTTATTTCTGAACAATTCCTACGAAGGCATAGGAATTGACTTTTTGGGGCACTTTCAAGCCAAGGCTTGTAATGGCAACTTGTTTTGTCGATGGCCGTGTTCACACACACCTTTTTGAAAAATGTTTTTGTGTGGAGTTGGCCTTCTTTAATAAAGATATTAAGGTCTAAAAAATTGATAGATTCTTTGCTATATTCATGTGTGAGAATAATACCCCTATTGTTAGTATTAAGGTAATGGATAAAATCAATTAAATTGTTTTCTGGTCCTTCCCAAATAAAAAAAAGATCATCTATATATCTAAAATATGAGACTAGGTTTGCCCGCCAGGCGTGATTGCTCCAGACGGCTTCCGATTCCCAGTCTGCCATAAACAAATTTGCATAGCTGGGGGCAAACCTAGTACCCATAGCAGTGCCCCTCTTCTGAAGATAAAAAGAATCTAAAAACCAAAAATAGTTATTTTTTAAAATTATGTTGATCCCTTCTATTATAAAATCAATCTAGATGGCAGGAATATTGCCTTTTAGGGTAAGAATCCTTTTTATGGCCTGGCATCCGATATCATGAGGAATGATTGTATAGAGTGACTGAACGTCACAGGTGACTAATATAAAATTAGGTTTCCATATAAAATTATTTAAAAAATTTAAAAGTGACATGGAGTCTTTTAAATAAGATTTCATTAGTTTTACTAAGGGCTGAAGTAGGGTGTCAATATATTGGGAAAGGTTGCATAGAAGAGACCCTATTCCAGAGACAATGGGTCTTCCTGGGGGGTGTTTCTCATTTTTATGAATTTTAGGAAGAATATAAATAACAGGAGTAATAGGAAATTCTTTGTTTAAAAAATTAAATTCTTGTTTGTTTAAAATATTTAGATTAAACCCTTTATTTAAAAAAGTGGATAAAATAATTTGAATGTTTTTTGTAGGATCAGAAGAGAGTTTTTCGTATACCTGCATATCCTCTAATTGCCTTAAAGCTTCTTCAATATACATTTTGCTAGATTGTATTACTACTCCCCCACCTTTGTCGGCTGATTTAATAACAATATCTTTATCTTCTTGAAGTTCTTTAATTGCCTTTTTTTCAGCATTTGTTAGGTTGTTGGCATCGTATTTATTATATTTGATTTTTTCCAGGTCTTTTTGGACAAATTTTTCAAATAAAATCAGCGGGGCAGATTTACAATGTGATGGATAAAACCCAAACCCCAAAGATCACGATACACAAATGACTATCACCAATACTCAAATTATTCAAAATCACCTTCTATTCCAAACCACTCTAATAGATATCAATTATTGTCAATAGACTCTGATTTTGATAATGAGGACCATTTTTTAGAAATACGTACCCACCAACCCGCACTAGCCCAGACACCACATCCGTCACGCTCCCAAAAACGAATTTTAAGTTTAGAGGAAGACGAAGTGGAAGACGGGAGCAAAAGGGAAAGACTAGAAAGACAATAATACCCTCCCAAGATCCCTGTAGTGGTATTTTTAACCTTTCGCAAAAAGTTTTATCAGCTGCCCAAGTGTCTGTTCTTAGCAAAGGTCTTAAATTCGCCCCTACTTCTTCTTTTAGTCCCTTTCAGGCTTTTATTGATGTAAATAAATTTGTTCGAAAAGCTACATTAAAAAGATTTTTTAATAGTAAAACAGATGCACTACCAACTCCCACTCCTTCTCTACAAGACAATGGTTTTATCAGTACACATCTTAGAGAAAAATCCAAGTTTTATCCATCACATTGTAAATCTGCCCCGCTGATTTTATTTGAAAAATTTGTCCAAAAAGACCTGGAAAAAATCAAATATAATAAATACGATGCCAACAACCTAACAAATGCTGAAAAAAAGGCAATTAAAGAACTTCAAGAAGATAAAGATATTGTTATTAAATCAGCCGACAAAGGTGGGGGAGTAGTAATACAATCTAGCAAAATGTATATTGAAGAAGCTTTAAGGCAATTAGAGGATATGCAGGTATACGAAAAACTCTCTTCTGATCCTACAAAAAACATTCAAATTATTTTATCCACTTTTTTAAATAAAGGGTTTAATCTAAATATTTTAAACAAACAAGAATTTAATTTTTTAAACAAAGAATTTCCTATTACTCCTGTTATTTATTTTCTTCCTAAAATTCATAAAAATGAGAAACACCCCCCAGGAAGACCCATTGTCTCTGGAATAGGGTCTCTTCTATGCAACCTTTCCCAATATATTGACACCCTACTTCAGCCCTTAGTAAAACTAATGAAATCTTATTTAAAAGACTCCATGTCACTTTTAAATTTTTTAAATAATTTTATATGGAAACCTAATTTTATATTAGTCACCTGTGACGTTCAGTCACTCTATACAATCATTCCTCATGATATCGGATGCCAGGCCATAAAAAGGATTCTTACCCTAAAAGGCAATATTCCTGCCATCTAGATTGATTTTATAATAGAAGGGATCAACATAATTTTAAAAAATAACTATTTTTGGTTTTTAGATTCTTTTTATCTTCAGAAGAGGGGCAATGCTATGGGTACTAGGTTTGCCCCCAGCTATGCAAATTTGTTTATGGCAGACTGGGAATCGGAAGCCGTCTGGAGCAATCACGCCTGGCGGGCAAACCTAGTCTCATATTTTAGATATATAGATGATCTTTTTTTTATTTGGGAAGGACCAGAAAACAATTTAATTGATTTTATCCATTACCTTAATACTAACAATAGGGGTATTATTCTCACACATGAATATAGCAAAGAATCTATCAATTTTTTAGACCTTAATATCTTTATTAAAGAAGGCCAACTCCACACAAAAACATTTTTCAAAAAGGTGTGTGTGAACACGGCCATCGACAAAACAAGTTGCCATTACAAGCCTTGGCTTGAAAGTGCCCCAAAAAGTCAATTCCTACGCCTTCGTAGGAATTGTTCAGAAATAACAGATTTTAACGAACAAGCCAATTTTAAAAAAAACAAATTTATGGAAAAAAGATATTTAGAATCAGATCTTAATAATACAATCAATACAGTAAAACAAAAAGAATGAAATGATCTTCTGATTTATAAAAACAAACAAAATGATGAATCAATATCTCTTCCCATTATTTTTAATTTCAACAATAAAAGTAACAAAGTTAAAAAAATAATAAAAAAACATTGGCACATACTCAAAGAAGATGATATTTTAAATCCAATTTTACCTAACCAGCCAAATATTGTGTTTAGAGGTGCTCCAAATTTTAAATCAATTCTAACCACTAATTTTACTCGAGAATCGCCTGTAAGGGGTTTTTCTTTTTTTCCGCAGACAAAAGGTTTTTATAAATGCAAACAATGTATAGTGTGTAGAACTACAGATTTGTCCACTCCACCCAAGGTTACTCAGTTTATGTCTAATAGGACTAAAAAAATGTATAATATCTATGACTTTATTGGCTGCAATACTAAAAATGTTATTTATCTGCTCGAATGCCCATGTGGCCTCCAATATGTGGGGATGACCACAAGGTGCTTAAAGACAAGATTGAGCGAACATTGCAGAAATATTAAAAATGGATACTTAAATCATACAGTATCCAAACATTTTATTATGCATAATAAAGACCCCAAACTCCTAAAATGCATTGGTATAAAAAAATGTTCTACCCCCTGGCGTGGAGGAGACATAAAAAAAATTACTTGGAAAAATAGAAATGGAATGGGTGTATAACCTTAAGACTCTTATACCCCATGGCCTCAATGCAGATTTTGACCTATACAATTTTCTATAAAAAATCAGCAATTTATATGTCTGTTTTAACATATACTTTTTTTATATGGTTTTAAAATGCATATTTATTTTATTTATATTTGCATATTTTTATCAATTAATCTTATCATTCTTTATTTTGTATTTGCAGTAATATATCAGTTTTAGCAATTTGATTATTAATACACTGTGTTTTTCCAAATATGTTTTTATATACTTAAATACTTTTTTTATATGGTTCTAAACTGCATATCTATTTCATTTCTAATTGCATATTTTTATTAATTAATCTTACTATTCTTTATTTGATTATTGATATACTGTGCCCTTCCAAATATGGTCTTTTATATATTACTTGCCCCTCTCAATATGGCTACATTCTCCTCCCTATGTGGGCTCTCCTATCTAAGCCCCTCTCAATATGGCCGTGCCTATTCTTTACCCTACCTAACTCACGGCCGCCATTTGCGGTCCGTGAACTACATTTCCCACTAGGCATTGCGGCATTACGTCCGAAAACCGGAAGTGCCGCATGTCACATGTTCATTTTCAAACGCAGATTTTATGCTATTCTAACCCTCGTTTTTGCTATTCATGTATAGTACTAATGTTCTTACACCATATATTTTATTTGTATTGATGTTTTTTAAAGATTTTACACTGCTAAAAGTAACTTAATTGTGATTGGATAGATCAATTTTGGCGCCAAATCCAAATTATCTAAACTCCTATATAATACAATTAGCCAGGCATTGTATGTAATTCCATTTGATAAAGTCTATTGACGAAACGCGTTATGGATATATGATATTTTACTGTGTATTTTAATATTAAAGTAATTATTGGTCATTTATTTGTTCCAATTATTCTTTTTTTGTAGTTTTATATACACATTATTCTTTCTTTTTAACCCTGGCTTTTTAGTATTTTTTAGTATATTTTTTAGTATTTTATGTACTATTATATACCAACAACCACTTCGGAAGTCTCCTGCACTCCAAGAAATCCAGAGGTGGGGATCAATCCACCCATGCTGTCACATAAGAGCAGTCGGTCTGCTCCTCTTTTGTAAGTACGTTTTTATCTACCTATATTAAGACTACTATACAGTGAGCACTATCGGCTGTCTCTTTTTTCCTTATTTGAAAGTTGGACACCACTGACGGAGAGATACCCACGACATATCCTACAAGCGGGGATCATACCGCTGTATGCGCTTTTTCCCTAGAGCTGGACATAAGCTCTATTAAATGTGAGTTCTCATCTATTATTTTTCTAATACGTCACCACTGGAATTATACAATACTACACTATTGGTCGTCCCTCTCTCTCTCTTTTTTGTCTTCTATGTAAGTGGAACTAATACAGTTTATGAAGACTTCAACACTGCACTTTTTGTGATAAAGACTATTCGTAAGGACACTTAAGTTGGACCTTTTTATTTATCGAACTTATTTTAGCCTTCCTGTGGCGCAGCCTTTTTACTATTGTTTTATCCGTTTTGTTTTAAAAGGGTTTGGAGGGTTTCCCTTTTTAAGGTTGCTGCCTGTCAGTTAACTAGCGCTGTCTCTTTTCTTACATATCTCTTTTAGAACACTGGTGAGACCTCACTTCGAGTATTGTACACAGTACTGGAGACCGTATCTTCAGAAGGATATTCATACTTAGGAGAGAGGCTACTAAACTGGTTCATGGATTGCAGGATAAAACTTACAAGTCAGCTCTTGACAAAGGCGCACGTTTGCGCCGAAACACGCATTGAGCATAACCATGTACACTATGTACTTTACCTAGGACATCTGTTTTTATAACCATTTGATATTGAGTCTAGGGATCACCTTATCTACTATTTAGGAATTAGTTTAAATTGTGGCATTAATCCGAGTGATTATACTCTTAGATAGACGCTTTTTCTCCTTTTTGTTACCGGGGTAGCTCTGAGAAGACACCTGCCTTCTCTGTATCCTGTAGAAGGGACGACCCTGCTCAAAGTGGATGTTCTAGTAAGAAGCTCCCTCTCTATGAGTTTCCATTTGTCTTTAAGTTGCCTAAAGCTTTCCCTGGATACTATACTATAAGACTCTTCTCTGTGTTTTTATGTATTCTGGGTCCATCACCCTTCTGCCACTTGATGTTCAGTATGATCCTGTTGCAAGTCCCCCTATAGACTTTGCCATACACTAAGCTGAAGAACCACATTATATAAGTCCGTTTTCTGCTTTGTTTGTCTAAGGGTGGTTACTGTTTCTTTTTCTAGGCGCAACTACTTTTGTTTGTTTGTTACTGCAGGACTTAGCAGGAGATCTAATGGAAACTCCTAAGCAGAAGCGTCTGTCTCTCCTGTGGGCTAAGAGGAGGCATGGGGCCATGCCACGTGAACCCCAAGTAATACGTGAATTTATTCTAAAACACTTTGAATATTTACAAAGGGGAGAGTGCCAACTTGTATGACACCATAACCACTAAAATGTGCTTTAGTGGTTATGGCGCTTAGAGTGTTCCTTTAAATTGAATAATATAGGAATTTTATTTTTTGGGGGAAAAAAAGCATAAATGGAAACTTACTTTTTTGCTTACACACAAACACACAGACACATGCACAGATTATTTTCTTTGTGAGAGTGTTCTACATACTTGTTTTATGTTTACATTTTTATATACCTGTATGTAGATATGCAGCATACCTTTTACAATCCTTTACAAATGATTTGGCAATGGCTGGTTTGACATTTAATTAAATAATTCCACATGCATCTTGTCATTTATTTTATACATTCAGCATTTATTTTCTGCTTGTTTCTATTTATTAATGTAGTCACTGACCCAGCCATGATTTGGACAAATAGAGCTATTGATTGCACTTTATTGATGCTTGCTAAACACTCCAAAACAAATCAATGGTACATTTATAAGAGACAGCAACAATTCAGATGCTAGAGTCTCTTTAAATACAAATGCACATGTCTATTAATTTGAAATTATGAATTCATAGGAAATAGCTAATTAACTTCCAACCTCTTTTAAAACATTTATTTGAATCATGTTTTTAGGGCAAAACAGTAATTTCATGTATAACACGTTGCTCAATGAAATATAACAAAATTACATTTCTGTATAGAAGCTGAATTTTTAGTGGAGTCAATACTTGGAAAAGCATAAAGTAGATATGTAACTATGTTATCTGGCACATGGGGCAAAATCATGTTTTCGCATCCTCTCCGAGATTTTTGTTTGTTGCCCCCTCCCTCCCACCTTGACTCTCTGCACCTCATTCACTCCCTTGTATGTCTCTAAACCCCCTTGCCAACTTGTATGTCTCTTAACTCCCGATTATCCTCCTTATCCTATCATATGTAGTTTAAACCTCCCTTACCCTACTGTGTTTGTCTTTGCCCCTTTATTTGTCTCCTAGCTTCATTGTGTCTCTTATCCCCCCTTAACCTCTTTTCCTTTATACCTCTGCCCTTAACGGTGTGTGTCACTTATTATACCTCAAATGTTTGTGTCTCTTATCCATCTCAACCCTTTGTGTCTCTAACTCCTGACTACCAATAACTACTCTTAGCGTGTATCCTCACGGGACTAGGGTAGAAGATCTCCATTATTCTTTTCCAGGTCTGACAGGGATTTCTGAGTAGCGGGCAGAGAATGGAGGGAGAGCTAGCAACTTTTGACCTGGGGAGGCTTTGATTTGCAAACAAATTTCCCAGATCTCTGTGTGGATGTTCTGTATCATAGTAAATCCATGCAACCTCCATCCATATGACAAGTACAGTATGAGGGAGCATTTACAGACTTGCTTTAGTGAACGACTCGGTCTTAGTTGACTTAACACCAATGTTTTATCTCACTCTTTAGTTACTTACAAACACCACCATGTTATACATACTGATCATATTTTGGCAGATTGGCCTCCTGGAAAACATCCCAGTGGTCCAGTTCAGCCCTGGAGATCATTCAGAATATGGGCCACAAACCCAAGCACAAGTCCTGCATAGTTCCTCCCTCCTGCCTTCTGCCTGCAAACATATATCTAATTGTTTTAATCAACAGAAGAATTCTACCCTCAGGTTGCAGTCCTCAAACTCTATTGTCTCCCTATCTCCCTTGCAAGTCCTCCAGTGTAGGGCTCCCTGTCCACTCTCTGCAAGTTGCACAGAGCTTTGTGGCAAACCAGGCAGGGGATAATTAATATCCTCTATCATGGTCCGGCAAGTCTACTCTACAGAGAGTATTGGGCAGGGTCATCACCAGTGGCAGACTGACACCTGGCCCCAATTTGCATGCTACTGGTGTAATCATACATTAATCTTTAAATCCTTCTTTTAAGGGCAGAAACATTACAGGGCAAGGCAAATAAATATTTCAAGTCATTTTAGTGGGGAACAAAACTCTTAGATGCCATGTTTGTGGACATTTGCACTGAATCTAGTGGTAGTTAGGGAATGTAGATTCCTAAAATTATAACAGAACATAAACATTTTGAATACATGTGGGCACAGTGCCTGGCATCTGTATCACTAACACATTGCACATTGACAAGGTTGAACAAAGACCAACTGGCTGTCAAAATGTAACGACTTTGTAATATGTGTGACTGAGCATATTTCTTGTACTTACAAACTGGACAGTTATACTTTCAGATATTTCTAATATATTCTAATCTCTATATTTAATTAAATTAATCTTTAAACGTTTTAGGTTTTATATTATGCAATTTGCTGCGAAAACATTATGTTGACAACCTGATTTTGAGTGACATATTACTCTTTTACTTAATGGGATATTCTAACCTTATTAGATCAACAGTTTGTTTGTTTTTTCCGTAATGAAAACATTTTGCAGGACAGTGGAAATTTGGCATTATGTTGGTTTAGC